ATATACACCCCAATTTTATTACGTTATCTAAAGAAAAGGCATATATTCAGCAATACCATTGGGAAAAACCTTATGTAAGATTACTGTCAGGCACTAAAAGCAACGCGCACACAGATGCAAATATTACAATCGGCAAAGCAATATGGTTTAAATACCACAATAAAGTGACGGCTGAACTAAAAATATAAACACCAATGACCCATCTCACAATACGTGACCAAAGAATGATGATACACGACGTCCACGCCCTGAATCATGCAATCACAGTCTGCCGCAAAATGTGAATACATGCGCAGTATTGGGCTTGTGGAAGTGTACATTACGCATGTGTAATAATGAAGTGCCAGAAAATGTGAGAAGGGTCCAGCTGCAGACGCCTGTATAGTGGAGCTCCACCGGAAGTACGTCACCTCCACAGGAAACACGTGGCCTCAACTCTGTGTCACAGCGAATAAACCCTTACCCCTAACCCGAGCTCCACTTCACGTCCTTAAAGATCACGTGTTTCCTGTGGAGGTGACGTATTTCCGGTGGAGCTCCACTCTACAGGCGTCTGCAGCTAGACCCTCTTGGAAAATGTGGTTTCGTGGACGTGGAATCATGGATGCATGCGTGATGAATGTGCGCAAGCGTAGTAGCAGAAGTTATCGGTAGGTGTAACATTTTCGGTAGTGACAACGTGGACCGCATTGCTGAACTCCTCGAAGGCTCTTTTGTTTACGTCCGGCGGAATTTTGTTTACCCTCACCCTTGCCTAACTTTGGATGCTGTGCTGGTGCTGCGGGTATTTTCATTTCCCTGGAAGCTGCACTTCTCCCACTCCGCTGTGTGCCTCTGCTTTAGGTGCTGGAATAAATTTGTCGTGCTACTTCCTTTGGTTGCAACAGTTTTTAAACAGACTTTGCAACGAGGACTTGTTTGGTTTGTGTCCGACGGCGCAAAAACAAACCATTGCCGTGTTGTTTGTGAATCCGCTACAGTGTTTGGGTGCGCCGCGCAAATTTACCCATGAAGAACGGTGCGTCGCATTAGTTCCGCTTTTGGCGCTCGCGTGTAAAATAAGTAATAAAATCAATTTTCATAAAAACACATAGTCCTGAACTGTAAATTCGAATTCATCGATAAAATCGATTTATCGCCCACCTCTAGGGACTTGTAAGCACGTACTGGAACTTCTGTTCCGGAACTTCGGTGTGAAAGAGCCTTAAGTCTACTTATATTGTTTGGTATTTGAAAGAACACTGTAATAGGTGTTTGTTTTTTTCTGGACTCCATTTTTCTGTATCGCATATTTCTTGCATATATTACTCTTTATTAGTGGTATTGTACATCAAGATGTATTGATGCATTCCTCATAACTCGGAACTTGAAAATTTCCAACCTCCTACTTATAAAGGTGCTATAGAACAGCTAAACAGAATAGATTCATAATGCAAATTTATGCAAGTGAATGCTAATTCCACCAGAATGTGGTGCTGACATAACATAGCGATTCTCATAGAACATATTGATTCTCATAGATGTGCTAGAAAATTAGGAAAGTATCACATGTTAAAGTAAATCATGAGGTACACAGTAAAGCATCTCTACAGTTTTACGTCACTGTCGGTCTCCAAACACGGTAATGCCTTGACTGAGCCGACCCTTCTGCAGTGGAAAACAAAAGTGAACTGGAACCGCACTGCAACTACTCTCCCTCAGTACAGCTGATCTATTCCTGGAAGCCAATGGAAAAGTGCCATAAGACTACCTACAAAAATGTGAAAGGAAAAGAGTGGGAATGTAAACTTGTAAACACAGGGATGCACGTGTGTGAGTACACTCCTGCAGCACCTGTGAGTAGTTTGCGATTGTCAACACAGTTTGATCAGTTCAAATATGTAGATATCCAAGCATATGTAAGTATGCTACTTGCTTATTATTTTTCCCTCAGAAGTGGAGGGAATAGTTCAGGGCCCCTATACTGTATAACTGGTGGGGACGTGTCCTCCCCACTGTCTGCCCTCTGCATTGGATCCAAACTTGCTTTAAGGGACTTAAGTGCTATGTAACAAACTGCTAATTTATCCAAAGAGTCCTTTCTGCACTGTGCTGAAGTTTCAGTGACAGTAAATGGGGTCAAATTGTCCCACAGTATAATGCCCTAATGTTTACTTTAGTGACCGGTGCAATTCTGACCCTTAGCTCCCTGATGAGATATGAGACCCCACTTCCATGGGCATAAATTACAGAGGAATAGTAATGCCCCCCCCCCAATTTTCATGTCTCCCCCTAAATATGTGGAGACCTCAACCGCCCCAGATGTTCAAACCAAAGTTTCACTATTGACCACTTCCCCTGCACCAGTCCTCACGATTAGGCTTGAATTTGCTGGGGGGGTTGGTTGCAGATCAGAAGGGGCTGACACCTGGGGCTGAAACCTTGATAATTAAGGTATGAAGTCTAAATAAGCCTAAATAAAGTCTAGAAGTGTCTATGACACTGACATACCTGAAAAAGAGGTAATTAATTCAAAAACTTCTAAGAACAAAAAAAATCTAAGAAAAAAACAGTACAAGGAAAACTGTACAAGAATGTTACATACTCCTGATTTGCCGCAAGTTGCATTAAAGGGCTCGAAGCTAAGCTAAACTACAATTACGAGTGCAGGTACCTGCTTGTTTGGGAGTCCCTAATCACATCGGGTTTTCTTCGCAAGTGTTTCTGAAAGGCTGTTCCCCTAAACAGTCCTCTGGCTGGATTCCTTCGTGTAGCCGTACGGTCAATCATGAAACCTAAGCTTATAGTCATATCGATCCTTATCCAAAGAAGCGCAGTTGTGTTCGGTGTAACTGCAGCATCATCGCCTCGATCAGTCTCATTCCCAAACACATCCTTGCCTTTACTTCCACCCAAAACAATTTATACTGTCACATGCCATTGAGGTAGAGTCGTAGTAGGCCTATTTCATATGTCGGTATTTTTTAAAAAACCTTGTTGCTCAAATACAGAATCACGTAACACGCCTTCCAATAATTAGACCAATATTTCACGGTTACTTGCTTCTGCTCATCCTCGTAATTAATTACACTGGTTACCAAAGACTTTGATATATATGTGCCACCACAGCCGCACTTGAGCGTTAAACCATAGAAATTGTTTTGATTTTTGAAACATATAAATCATGCAGTTGTGCGTCTGCGTAACAGCAGGCAGAAACATGTCGTCGAGGCATTTGTGGGTCATTCTCAATTTCTCCTAACGCTATGTGGGGCAGATCTAAGTTCATAAAAAAAAGCCGGAGCTATTCTGCAATTGTATTTTTGGGTTGTTGTACATGAGAAGAAAATTATATTCAGGGATTATCACTGGGAGTCCCTGTTATTCTGTGTCTATGGCTCCCGAAGTCCCCGGAATCCTGCCCCTTTCAAATATCCCTTCGTCAGCAAACAGTGAGGTTTGTTAACCATCAGCAGATGCCAGATAACTTGCCCCTGCCTGCATAATCTTTTTTCTTTGTCTTTTATCAACAACAAATTGACTGCACCGCTCCATAACACCTAACTTTGGTCTTCTGCACACGGCCGAGGAAGAGGGGGAAGTAAGAATTTTTGTGTTTATATGCCAGCAGTCGCTTCCCCTACATGTCATTTGCCACCATTTAGATATTTTTTGTCGGGAAACCCTGCTGCTGTCTCACCACGGACAGGGGGTTTGTGGGACACGTGTTTGTCGTTTCCTTTTCACGACAGATCAGAAGCAGATCCACATGCTCGCGTCCGTTTCTTTGTGCTTTTGGGTCGAGTTGCTCCATGCATATGCTGAAACCGCTGGAAACGTGTAAATTTGTCTCGTGCTGCTAACTCTGCGTGGCGCGTGCTGTGTACTGCTGCCTGAGCACTCCCCCCTCTCTCCCCCACCCAAAAAAGAAAAAATGATGTTAACATCCTTTGTGAGGCGATGAATAAGCTATAACAACTGAGAAAGAGCAAAGAGCAGAATGGTATGACGATTTTATGGGATCATTTCAGGACACATTTAAATGCGGGGGAAAGTATAATAAATAATAAGCAGATGAAGTTCAACGCATATCGAAAAACATTTACTACAGATAGTTAACCTGCAAAACTTCTTAATGGCCCCCAAGACCTCACACCGCAGGGCATTGTTCGAGACGGCGACTGCATACCGTACCGCCCACTTAAGCTTAAGCTTATTACTGAACAACAGGCTGCACATTATATGCAATCAAAGAAATGTTTTCCAGGGAGTATTCGAGAGCAAAACCAAAAAACAAAACGCGCAAAAAAATTAAGTAATAAAAATGGGAATGCCTCAGTCTGCTGTCTTTGATTGGTTATTTTTTAATGTAAGTCTAAGGTAAAGGACAGAAGAGGCGATTGCATTGATCGGGAAATGAAAATCCGAGCCGCAGGAATGACAAGCGGCCGAGTCATTCGTGCTCCTTTTTAATATTTGAAAACTACTTAAAGATTTTCACTCATCAACAGGGGGATTTATTTTGAATGAATATGCCCACATCTCTTATTTCTTTTTAATATTTGAAAGGTTTCCATGTTTCCTACTTTAAGTGATATTGCGCTGTGCTGTTTATGAAAATAAACGCAATTTTTAGCACAGACACAACCTGACAGGATTAGTAATACAGCTGCAAGTAACACTAACAGGCAGTAGATAGTTTAACTGCTACTCGCTCCGATCATTATAAGTCGACACTGTCCTACAGTATATACAGCATGGGACAGCATGGTGGTTGGGGGGTACGTGTGTATATACAGTGTTTGTTCTGGCTTAATTAGCCAGCGAAACGCTGAAACGAATAATGACGGAGTAACCGCAGCAGATGCCATATATAGTGAAATGATTCAATGCAAAATAAATGTAAAAAGTGAAGTCTGGAGTCAGACTACACTCCAAATAGTCACAGAATTAGAAGACCATCGCACCATCGCAATTTAAAAGTACTTTAGATTTAAACAAAATCATTGTAAGTCACTCACCGCTGCCGCTTTGTACCTGTTGGAAGCTTTCCCTTCGGGTACGGGAAGGGAATGAGCACAGAGGAAAAGCAGCAAGGCTATGGCGCTGGACAGCCCCCCAGGAGTCAGCATCATCCTTCGCTTAGAGTCGGACCTGCAGATTTCACCTCCCGGCGTGATGGGATGGAGGCGGCACTCAACTCGCCTCACAGTCAGGGAGTGTCTGAGAGATGTGTAGCGGCGTATTTATACTCCGTGATTTCGTTGTTCTCCAAAAAACACAACTTTTTTATAGGCAGGAGAGATAATTTCCCCTGGACCAACGTTTAACCCCTAACTGCTCGGCTGTTCTATACCTGCCGACCGACACTATACTGTGTATTACAGCATTTTAAAGGATTGTCTAATTACAGACACAATATAATTCTACAGGTACAAAAGGTGTGATTTAAAATATGTACTGTAGATTCCCAGTGTTAGTGTATCTGCAGTTATAAAATTAAATTATGTTTAGTGATCAAACAGCGATTTTTATTCCGATTGCATTCGCTTGTGGTTGTCATTGCCGATCGATTGTGCCGTGACGTGTGGCATTTCTTCTAGTCTTACATTTTTCCCAGTTTTCTTCTTTTTGTGAGGAAAGTCGTCAAAGTCACGACGAGTAAAATCGTGCTTAGATTGGGGAATTGCCTAATTTCCAAAGTGGTATGCATTTGAAAGCAAGCCAGTTATTTTTATTCTGAGAGCTCGTTACAAAATTGATATGAGTCCAGCTGCTAGTTACAGCGAGTCGACACACGCGCGCCTGCACCGCTACATTACCCTGAAACTAGTGGCATCTTAAAATCTAGTAACACAGTTGGCGAATACGCTTTGAAGTAAGAACAGTGTGGCTTCTATATAGATAAATGGATTTACGCTTTGACGTACAGATACCCGGTTAAACGTTTCAAATGTATTTTATAATTAAGATTAAAAATCCACCATAATGCGTTTTTCATGTGTGTAAAAGCTTCACCATGGTTTATTCTCACATGAGCCGGTGACAGTAATAGTTTGTTTTGCGAATAGTACGATGCTTATATATAGGCCTAGTGCCGTGTTAGTGCCGTAGGCGTGGTACACGTTATGCTTTTACTGTAAAATATGGTTTAAAGGAAGATGCAAGGAAACGGAATAATCATTTCCAGTCATTTATGTAATTCTGAAAAGATTTCAGAAATATGTAATGCTGAAAATACCACAGGATTTGATTTTAATTTAATTTTTTTAAATCAGTTTTTAAAATATTGGAATTATTTACCTGTTACTTTATAGTAGCTATTTTAGGAAACAATTGAAGAGACCGTGAAGAAGAAAAAAAACCCTCGTTAGCGCCATCGTGTGGCTGCAGAGATTAATCGTGGTATGCGGGTGACGCCAGACTGATTGTTAGCATAAAAGGAATGTTTCGCGGAAAAATCTCAGCGGCGTGCACTATGCCTATAAGACCACCCATAAGTCAGGTCAGAGGATGAGTACTAATAGCTTTTAATAATCGGTCACAAGACCAGTCTCATAGCTCCAAAAGACAACAATGTTTTCTGATGGACTGTCTGTCAAAGTTGCAAGGAAAGCAGCTTCATGTGCTAGCAGCATGGGAAAGTCCCTTTTGTGAAGTCAGAGAAATTTTCCACATTTTGCCACAGAAGTAGAGCCACAACTTCACCACCTTCCTGTGCCCCCCATCTGTGTGTCATATATGCTGACCCCCTACCCCCCCCCCCCACCCCAGTCATGTGAGATCCCACACCAATCCATGCTTCTCTGAAGGCTGGTTCCCTTTTAGGCCCCGGGACATGCGGGCTGTTGTGCTTCAGGTGCCTGTTGGGACTGATCTCCTGGCCTGTCAGTATTGCTCCAGGGTCTGCAACCCACATCCAAGAAAGACCTCAGGCCACAACAAAAACCACATCGCCAGCAGCTGCCGGCCATCTTACAAGAACCACTTAAGATCAATTATGGGTCAAAAATAGACAGTAAAAAGCATGGGAGCATGTTGTCTGCCATAAGCACTGGGGAGTTTTGAGAGGAGGGTAGTAGAAAGCCCCGTCCCATTGGGGCTATTGGTGGGCCACATTCAGCCTGTACTACCTCCACATGGTGTGTTGCTAGGGGGAAAAAAACACACAGCGCCCCCTTCTGGCTACTCAAGAAGCCAGTTGCATCACAGAAATACATCCTTGGTGCATGTACTGTAACATGCATACATGGGCCGGCTCCCAAATGAACACAACGCGATTTGACGTGAATCACACAAGTTCAAGTATAATGAAGCAGGGAGAACTCTGACCAGCATCTGGCAGTGAAGCTGACACTTCCATCGAGCAGCTGGATGTTGTACCACAGTGATTCAGATTAAACACCTGGATAAAAACATACGAGCCTGATTAGGGACTCAAACCAGCAACCATTCACATCCAAGGGTGGGGATTTTACCACTACATTTCCACTTTCCAAATCACCTCATGAAGTATAATTAATGTAACATTGTTTGCCAGATGGTCAGCCATATCCTGTCATGTGGTCGATTCTGTGGTTTACAGAATAAATGTCCTTATGGAGGCATGACTACACAACATGGGGGAAAACTCCACATTTCTGTTTGTTTTGATCTTAAGGATGCAAGGGGGGTGGCAGATGGTAGTTAATAACCTTCTCTGCTCCTGAGCCAGTGTGACTGGATGCGAGAACTTCAAATGGAACAATAGAGTATAAAAGCCCCAGGGGCTGAAGTACCCAGGTGCCCAGTGGAGACATAACAGGCAGATCCCTGACCTTGAAGGTGCATGCTGTGCAGGCGGGGGTTGGGGGCATAAAACTTCAGGAAAGTCCCCAACAGAGGATGAAACTTAAACCCATGGTCAGTGACATAAAGCACTGGCTTCAGTCCACTTTTGTGTGGATTTACTGTAGCCTCACTGGGTGGGGGTAGGGAGGGGGGCTGGGGGAATAGATGTGAGGGCTGGTGTGGATTTAGAGATGAAGTGGGGGTGAGAAGGTGCTTGACGGCCAACTTCCACAGCAGGGGAGCCTTTACTCTCTCTCCTCAGGCACACCTGCAGGGGTGGTGCCCTGGATGCAGGTGGGTTAGGGAGCCTTTTGGGATTTTCCCTTTGTGGGTGAGTCAAGCGTTGCCGGGGGAGATGACGGGGGTGGCATCCATTGTTCACCCCTAGCCACAGCCGGCAGCTGAAGCTGCTCCTTCCATACTTTGACTTTTATGATGTTATCAGATTCTCACGGGGCTGCCTAAGCATCAGGCTGTGGACAGAGAGACTCTGTGGTCTGCCAGGACCTCCACCATCTTACCCCTTCTCCTCATTCCAGATGCTACTTTGTCTGTCAACGGAGATCTGATCCTCCCAACTCCCCAGGGGCCTCACTGGAGACTTTTTCCTCACCCTCTCATCATAATCTCTTCAGGTTATCTGGATAGTCAATCAACACTCTTTGTGTCCAAGTATAAACTGGTTCAAGTCCATTTCTAAAACCAGGCCTGGAACTTTTGCCTCCCCCAAACCTATCCTACAGAGTGGTGATGCATGGACTACCTTGTTTGACCTGTTTACGCAGGAATTTGTGACCAAAACATACTGTATCATGTTTCAGATCTCCAAGAGAGGAACAGTTCATTTGCTGCCAGGGTCTGATCTCTAAATGTTTAAGTGAATACACATCTGCAGAACCACATCCGAGTATATTCCTGTAAGCGGAGTATTCGCCGTGCAAATAAATGTCACACCATAACGTAAAACCAAGAGTTTTTGGATCGCATTAGCGTTACGTGACAGCGGATAGCATATTATAAGACATCTGTCTGACCGCAGATTTGTCCAGTTCAACAGTGTGGTTTTTGTTCCTTCAGCTGGAAATGGTACACAGAGGACATGGACACAACGAAAATAAAAAAATCCCTGTTTGGAGAATTGCAGGCTTCAATCAGCAAAGAAACAGACAAAAGAAAATACGCAGGCTACCTCCATCTAGGGAAAAGGTTAGAGCTGCATCACCTAAAAGTCAAAATGATCATGTCCTTGTTCCTAGTTGTTATTCCAGATCTTGCCCTCCTGTGCGGCTGAGGGGGGCACCACAGGGAAGGCTGTGTGTCACAGGCCGATCTCTTCAAGTCCATATTGCAGAGGAGGGAACGTATCCCACAGTCATGGGGTTTAGCCGGAGTTGACAGTTTTGCACAATCAGCAGTGTGCTGTGGAGCTGAGGGTGAACCAGGGACAGAGCCTGGTAAACATACTAACATTCATACAGATTTAATGGGAAGTGAAGCAATTCAGAGCAATGGTCCCTAGTAATGCTTCATTATTCTATTTATTTTTTGTTCATTTTTTACTGTTGTTTCAATTGCAGCATATATCCGAGAATGCAAATTAAGTAGGTTTAAACTGTATCTCTCAGATAAAAACTAGTTCTGTCTGTAATATCCTGCCTGTCTCATCCACGTGACCCTCCTGTCTCCTCCCTGACGTGGCCCTGATGAGCCGCACCTGTTGCTTGTTACCCCTCGTTAGTCTTCGTATTTATGTTCTGTTTGTCTCGCCAGTCCCAGTTTGGTCATTGAAGTCAGTCCTCTTGTTTCCTGTGCAAACTACTAGCCTTGGAGAGTGACCTAAGTGGGCCATTTGACGTATTTTTAGAGCTGAAAGAGAAATGTAAGGGAAGAAAAAAACAATACAACATCAATAACATGCTAATCAAAGCTTAGGGCAGGACTTGAGTAGGGTTGCCACCCATTCCATATAATATGGGATCGTCCTGTATTGGAAAATAAATTTTATCAACACGCCTAGTAGGTGGATCAATTACGCTAAACGACGGTGAATCGACTACGCTAAAAATAATTATTTCAATTAAAATTAGTAAAAAAGGTTTAAAGGAAGTAGTATGTTTTCGCAATCCTAAGTCGCAGTGCATGTACTTGCACTCTTGCAAGAGTGAAACAGACAGTCGCCCTTGTCTTGAAGTACTTCGAGTGACTAACACTGAATGCGTCGCATGTTTCCGGCTGGATGCTCTGCTTCTTTTTCCTGTCTTTTTCTGTCCCACTTGGCTTCTGATGAGCCACACCTGCTCCTGGTATTTACCTGAGAACAGGTGTGGCTCATAAGAAGACAGGTAGGATAAAAAACCTACTGGATAGTTGCTCTCCAGGACCGGAGTTGGAGACCCCTGCTGTAGACAGTTGGTAGGTCAGGTCAGGTTGGGGAGCATGCACTAGCATAGCATGTTGCCG